ACTGTTCTATCAGATCCTAATTTTATTAATCTATTGAAATTCAGACACACTGCAATTGTTTATAAGTAGATCAGTGATCGAAGGTCTTATTTTCCATGCTTGCTTGTGAACAAATCATGGAACTTTACCCCTCATTCTTAACTCTTAGGGCTTTAATAATTGTCGGTGGCTTAGTTGGAAAAGGTCCTCTTGTGCTCATGACCTGTCCTGAACTCAAGTAAAAAATACGTCACCACAAATAGAGACCTCAACTGTTAAGTAATGAGCTTCAGCTGTCTTTCCATCAAGTCTGACTTAGCCGTCTGTTTGTCTGCTAAAGAAAAGCATACCCAAGCTATAACTTTCCCAACATTTATCATTATTAATAGTAGCAGTAGGTGTTGGGCAGAGTTTTTTTTTTTTTAACTCATCTGACCAGAGTACCCTCTTCCACGTTTTCTGTGTCCCTTACATGGGCGATAAAAATCAAACCACTGATGCAGAGGGAGAGCGGTGGGCTTTGCTCATGTTTAAATATATAAATGGCACATTGAATGAATGAGTGGGTATATCTGGCATGAGCTGTGTGTGTTTGGTGCAAGCTTGTTGTAAAAGCTTTGGCTATTTATTCACCACGTTGGCAATTTTATTTTTCTACAGAGGAAAAACTGTCTTAGTGTAGATGACTATAAAATCTGAAAAATGTGCAAGACAGATTTATTGCAGAGCTACGCACAGTTTAGGGTCAAGAAAGACAGATTGTGAATGTTGGTCACAAGTGCTTACCGTAATTAATAATGGGAAAAATGCAGCATGAATAGGCTTCCGGACTCTGAGCCGCTTGTTCGGTCCGCCTGTGGGTCACCGGTGCCACGGCGAACCTGCTTTCATCCGCCTCTCTCTCCAAGTGACTAGCCGCACTCTTCCGGACTTTCTGCTCCTCTGCGGGGGAAAAGCAGGGTGAGCTTGCCACTGAAGTCGGTGCAGCCGGCTTCTGGACCTCCGGTTCGACGTGAAACGTGCGCTTCCTAAAGGGAAGCTTCGATGGAGTCTTTATGGGAGATGAGTCCGCTGCTCGTTTGCCGAGCTGAGTGCTTTCCGCGTCCGGGGAGCGGCGAACCGCTGAACTGTCCGTCCCGGTGCTCGCAGGAGGCGCAGGTGAGCCGCCGGTCGCCCGGGCGTCCCCGGCGCAAAAGGTTAAGTCCCCCGCGTTGCTGCGCCCTCGAGCTGTGGTGCTCAGATCCAGCGGCGCTGCGGCAACCGACTGGTGGTCAACGCTCATCGTAATAAGACTCGGCATCAACTGAACCAGGTTCAGGTGACAGCGCAACCTTGGCCACGTCCAGAGAAAAGTACTAATTGTATCAGACAAACCAAAGTGAGAAACTCCAATATCTAAATGAGGCAAACGGGCGGCGATCAAATCAAACCATTGCCCTGTTTCCCTTTTTTGTCTCTGATCAGATAAGAGCTTAAATGTTCAGTCATGCAAATATACACGAAGGAAAACCCAGGAGAAATCATAGACACATCTGTGTATCCCTGCGCACCTTTCTGAGCGAGCCTCAGAGGAGCTGCGCATCTGCTCTTAATGAACGCCTGTTTGACGCTGTAGGCCAGCTTTCGTTTTAAACCGAAACAATGAACTCGAAGCTGTTAATTACACCGAGCTGGGCAGGAAAGGAGTTTAACGCTGCGCTGAATTCGTGGTAATTTTTTTTGCATTTCCGACGTAGTCTGATTGTCTGACTGTTCTGCAGACGAGTTCAAAACATTTCTTGAGAATTTAAAGCAGGCATGTTTGTCTTTTTCTTTCTTTTCTTTTCTTTCTTTCTTTCTTTCTTTTTTTTTTTTTGGAGGCAGGCAGGTGAGAAAAAAGGGAGACCAGTACAGAAACATGGAACACAAAGCAACAGATTCAACTACACTTTATGCCATTCATGTGATGAAGGATACTGGTTGTCTTAATGAAATATGAAATGAAATATTTTTCAGCTATTGTTCAAATTTACCAGACTGCAAGCTTCCACGTACTGGACGCATTCCTACATACCGATTTGAAGTTATTTCCAGTAACATCATGTTACTAAAAGATAAACTTCCTGTTGGAAATTTTCATGTCCTCTTATGCTTCCATTAACATAATTTTGGACCTTTTGATTTAAATGTTATCCATCACACGTTTTGAGTGCCTCGTGCTCCTTACAGTTGCCCACTTCCACTTCTGAACTGATTTGATCTATTTTTTCTGTGAAAAACAGACAATAATTTCCTGGCTGTGATGCATTACAGCTGATTTCATCTGCAGAAAACGTAGAAAGTCTTTGGTAACAGCATGTTGAACTTCCACATTTACTTCTCTTCTTCTTTGCTTCTTAATTCTCCAAATGCATTATCTAATATTTTTGACAAGCTCTCTCTCTCTCTCTCTTCTAGCATGCAGTTAATTATTATGCATGTCTGAAATCTATACTTGACCTTAGATTTATACATTTTCTGTTGCTTGGGTTTGGGAACACCACCAGCCTTGCACGTTAAGCTGAGCTCAAGAAACCACAAACAGATGAACAAGGAGAGTAACAAACTATAGATGCTTCATCATGACTCATGAAGCATTGCTGTTTGTAGTCCTGCTGCAACTTCACACCCAAGCAGACATAGTCTTTTTTTTTACTTGTCTATAATCCTGTCTTACCCCACCCTTAGCAAGGTTCTCATTACCTGGGTCAATTTGGGACTTTCCTCTTTCCACTGAAGTGTGGAGTGGGCAACGGAAAGTCAAGCTGTGTGTCTAAAGTCCCTAAAACACCCTGACACTATCAACAAGCCCTGCAGCTGTCAGTGCACTCAACCATTATGGTTAAGTGTGGAATAATGTGTAATTATTTATCAAAAGTATACACTTGTTTGCACATTTACAGCCTGCTTACTCCTGAAAAGACGCCTCTTAAAGCCTACAGCACAATGCAAACCGTGGAGCTCCACCGATCTTTCCATTCATACTGACTTTCAACAGAAAATATAATAATACTCCTTCATGTATAGGTTCACCCTTCAGCAGAGGGCTCTCACAGAAATCCACAGGGTAACGCATCACAGTACATGGGAGAAATGTGGCCCTCTTGTGAGAGGACTGCAAAAGTACAACACAGCTCTCAAATTACAGTGTGATTAAATACTAGTTATTAGATACACAGTTTGTTTTAATCTAATGTTGGACCTTTGAACTTATACAGTAGGGTGCTGAGTGGTTTAAACTGCACCTGGTGTTTTAAACTTCGAGCAGTTTTATCTTTGCTGTGTTCCAAAAACTGAAAGGGTTTTCTGTTTCCCTTTTTCCCAATAAAAAGTGCAGGGTTAATTAGTTATTTTTTAAATAACTAACTTGAAAGATCAATGCTTTTAAATTAGTGCCCCCTTTACTGGAAGCAATGGTTAAGTTGTATAGCACAGGGCCATGGAATTTATGTGGCAGTGACATACTTTTTGTAAATTAAATATTTAATTCTTTGATATTTTAATAAACAAAAAAACATAATTTACTACTTGATTCCTGGTACAGTAACATATTTATGTATGTAATTATGCTGGTTGACACAGAATAGCTTTTGTTGTATGTTTATGGTCATTGTCATCCTGAAACACATGCTTTCGACTAAGTCTCAAGATTTTCGCAGCATCGCACAGGATATCTCCCAGTACTGTCATTCTTTTGGCTCTGTCCATTTTTCCGTAATTTGTGCAGCTCTTGAATCACTGTAAGCTGAATGTTGTTCTCCGGACTTGGAGAGAACAGGCTATTTTTTTTACCATTTACTTCAAACCACAGCATGATGCCACCATGTCTAATGGGGAAAGTGTGTCATCCAGATGATCTGTTGTGTCAGTTTTCTGTGACACATAGAGATTCTGTTGGCTTTATTAACTGTGAATCTCTGCAGCTCTGCCAGAGTTACCATGAATTTCCTCCTGCCTCCTTCCCTGGTTAAAGCGCTTCTTGCCCAGTTTAAAGGTCTCATAGAGTTGAAACCAAAGGTTTCCATACACAATACATTAAAAGGACAAAGTATCTTTTTTTTCCATGATTGACAGATAAATCAGTCAATTTTTTTTTTCATTTTAGAGAAATTATATGTTAGATTTATTTATTGATGTCTTCAAAATCAGAAGACCACACATAGAAAGATTACTATCTCTGTAAGCGATGAGGGAAAGTCCAGATGACGATGTCATGGCTTTGGAAACTGCTGATAGGTTAACTGACACATTTGAGCTAATTGTAAACCAAAGACCTTGTGAAGATGCTGGCTGAAGCTGGTAAGACAGAGTCATCATCTACAGTGAAATATGTTCCCTGCTAACGTGCTGAAAAGCCACTAAGCAAGGAAGAAGCCATTACTGTAAAAGAAAGAGGGACAAAAAGCCAGTGTGCTGTTTACAAATGCACTCATTAAACGCTCTACATATTTAGTTAGGTGAATAAGTATCTCATTGAACACCCCTGTCCTGTCAGCTGACCAGGCAGCTAAACACTTAGAGCAGTGTTTAGCTGCCTTTTCTGATACTCTGTGGATAAGCAAAATTATGACTGGTTTACTTTTAAATCTTCTTTGAGTTGCACAAAATAGGACCAACAGGAAGTTTCACAGATATTTCCTTTATATCCCGTCAATTATTGTTTAATATAGATTTTTGTGATTTCCTGGGGGTGGGGAGTTAAGAAAGTTGTCAATACTATTTAAAATTGCTTCATACAATGATAGCTAAATCAATGTATGTTACATTGACTTACAATGTAACATACATTGTAAATGTTACATTTACAATGTAAAAAATGTATTTACATTGTAAATGTAAATGTATGTTACTAGCTTTCATTTGTGTCAAGTCTATTTTAGATGGAGTAACAAACAGCAGCCTCATGATGGTGCTAGAGGAAAAGTAGACATGTGACCAACGTCATTTGTATAGTGTGAAAATCTGCACCAACAAATATGCCATTCAGAGAAAAATTATTCTTTTTTTTTTGTTTTTTTTTTTCTCATGACAACATCTTTGTTGGACCTTCTCACAGGTCATTGTCTGAATGTCTCAAAATAGATTTTATATCATTGCATAAAGACCGACTGAAGAACTTAAACTGATTTTCCTGCTAACAGCTGAGAATGTATGATGGTATTTTGGCATGGTTATTATTTTCTACACTGGTTGGCCCCTGTTATCAGAAAACAATGTTCTATTTTTGCTCCCTCAGTGAGTGGCTGCATTTTGCTTTCATTCTAGTAAATCTTTAGTTATGAGTGCACACCTTCCTGTCTACCTCAATCCCTCCCATCTCTCTCTCTCTCTCTCTGTTTCTCTCTCTCTCTCTCTCTCTCTCTCTACCCTTACTTTTTTGTCTGAGCACCAGAGCAAAGAAAACCGACCTGTTTGTCTTACTGAAACCAGGAAACCAATCAAAGGCAAGACAAGTAGGAACAAAAAGGGTGAGTTGAAGAGAGAGAGAGAAGAAGCAGCTCTTTTTCCACAATGCTGCATGTAAATATACCTGCTCCATTGACCCAGAGATTGTAGGATTGTTATGCTGCTGAGATAAATCCCGGTAAGAAAAGTATGGTGCTAAAGAGTGACTCTGTGTGTATAGTAGAAGGGAGTAAATGCAGGCTAAGAAGCAGCCGTAAATGCTGCTTTTTCTTGTTTTGTCTACTTTACCAGAAGGTTGTGTAATAGGCCTTACATTCAATTTTCTTTTCAAGTTCTAACATAGAAACTAGAAGAGGACAGCAGTGCTTACTCTGGCCGTAAGTGCTCCATATATTTTTTAGGATGTAGTACTATGTGCAATCCAGTACAAAACAAAGTGATGTGTGATGTGTGTGGTAGGTGGAACAACACCGGATGCAGTTTGAAGAGGATAGGATGCAGCGTACTCATATCAACTTGAGGACTCTCAAAGATTATTGTACTGACTGCGTGTGTCGGTGTGATCAATCAGAAACCTGAATTTTGTAAGCTTTAGCTCCACCCATCTTCTGCTTATCAGTTCACATGCATTCAAAACTGAACTTTGACATCTCATGACACAGTTTAATATTTATGGTTAAACGCCCTCTTATGCCGACGCATACTGAGACGTGGACGTTTGAGGTACTTTTTGCTTCACTTCACTTTCAAACACACAACCGGGATCTTTATGGCAGAAGCAGGTCCAGGAGCCTCGAGGAGCACCAGAATGAGCTGCAAACCCCTGACTGGTGAAGACCTACGGCTGATGGAGAAGACCCTCAAAAGACTGGAAAGGCTTTCGGATCTGTGTACGAACCCCCGCCTTGGCCTGCGGAACAGTCCGCCATTTCTGCCAGATCTGGTTCGAGAGACGCTGACTTTGCTCACGCAGGTCTGGCTGCCTTATCAAGATGTTAGGACAGGAGGAGGCCTGGCTCCACGAGGGGATGAGGCGAGATACATGAGAATCCATATCAGAAACCTGCTGGATAAGACGGACCGGGCCATTCTGCTTTTCAAAGAGGGCCGAGAGAAGATATTTGATGAGACATCCAGCTACAGGTAACAATACTTCCATACTTTTGAATGTCAGATTTTTGCTTACTCTTAACAAATATCTAAATTAATTCAAAATTTTTGCGCCAAATAAATTTCGTTCAGAATTGCCTGCGTTTAGGAAAAATATAGGAAAAAATGGTATAAATATGACTGTAAAGGTAACTTCACATAATGAGGCGTCTCTTTCCATAAATTGGCCACGTGAGAATTTTTCTCTGTGATTTAATTGACAGTTACTTCCAGTTCTAAGTAAACCTTTGCAATTACTTTATTGCGTGTTTTGTTCATCCACATTCCATTCAGAAACAAACAAACCAGGCATATCTCACATATCTAAAAAGGAATTTTGTAGAAACACGTCTCACTTATAGACTTAACATTTTATTTCCATCCCAACCAGATTATTTAAAACTAACTTCCTTTTCTGTCCTTCTATTTATGATTTAAAACGCTGCTAAATTTGTCCGGTGCTTTTATTGCATAGTACAAGTTTATTGCCAAACATAAAAAGACATTTAAAATGATCCTTAACTTTCAAGATAACATTTTTAATTGGCCCTAAGGAAGTTTAATAACATTGATAAAACCCATGATAAACTAAACTTACTGTTTCCTGGAGTCTTAATAAAGAACTTGCTATCGTCATAAAGTGACGATGACTGTAAGCAGTTCTCCGTAAGTGGTTACATTCAAACAGCTCAGTGGAGCTTATTTGGAGGCTGGGCTGCCTTCTCCTGCCAGGAATACTAATGATGATTGTGGAAACAGGGTCACAACCTGCATCTTTGTAATGCTAAGAGGAAACCTGAAAAAGAAACAGCAACAAGAATGTCCTTTGAATTTGAACCGCTTGAGACAGAAAGTGCAAGAAATAGCTTGCGAACAAACAAATTGTCTGTTTATCCCCAAGTAAACTGAACAAGCTCTGCAGGAAGAAGAATATATTTGCCTCTGTGTTATGTTTCATTCGAATGTTTTCTGACAAGACCCAAATCTAACTTTTCCAGTTTGTTTTCTTTTGAGATACACATCAGTAAAGCACTTCTACTGATTACAAATGCTAGTTAGTGGAAGTGGGCTTTTAAATTGTGTTTTTTTTTTTTTTTTTTTCTCGCTACAGACTTCCTTTTATCACTGAGGCAACAATTAGGAACCTAATTATTCTCTAGTGTTTGTAGATGTCTGTTTGGAAAATAAACTTACCTGAAAATCAAACAGTACATTTTGCTCGTATCAGTAATGAGCGATTCAGATGAAGTATCAAACTTAATACCAATCAAGCTCGGAGAGCTCGACAACAGTACAGAACAAAAACCGAATCCGGTTACTCGATGATCTGGATCTGGAGTTATGCAGCTTCTACCATATACTCAATACATTCAGTAATTAAATATGCAGATATATTGCAGAAAATTTGATTATTATCACAAGTTACTTTGCTTAGATTGATTAATTTAAGCAAAAGTGAAATGTTGAAAAAATGAAGATGTATTAATATAGCTGAAATGTTTCTTTCTTTTCATTATTTATAATTATGGTTTTTAAAAAAAATCTAGAGTTAGGTTGTTTTGAAAATATTAAAATAACATGAAGCAAATTTTAAAGACAGGGTTTTTAATACCAAATTGCCGGCTTACTGAAAAGTATGTCCATACACAGTAGAGTATTTTTACTTTTGTCACATGGATTACTGCATCACAATGACTAAATCATTCCTAAAATCCTCATTGATTGTGGAAACTATATTCTGTACATCAGATGCTATTTTTATTTCTATATGCCAAGAGCGCTTTCAACCGCTAAGCAGCACTTCAGTCTCTTTTCTCCTAAACCCATGTAAGATACTTCTCCTGACACTTCGGGTTCAGGAATGGAGTAACATAAAAAAAAATGCGTAAGATGGAAACCATGTCCTGGATCCTTCTGTATGAAACTCCTAACACGCTGACTCCAGCCTTAGTTCATGCCTTCTAAATTTAACCCAAACTGGCTAATGGGCTCTGGTCACAACCCAGGGCTGTGTATGCGGCTGTTTGCATGTTCACCTTCTATCATACTTTTTCCTTCCACTTAACTTTCACTTAATATACATAGCACTCTACAAACAGTCTGCTTCTTTAGCAATGATCTTCACAATGGAAAACTGTTAAATCTGAGGATCTTCTTCCGGATTTCATAGACTACATCATAACCATCTCTGTATTAAAAATGTTTTTGTTTTTTTTTTGTCTTAAATGCAATTCAAACATTCTGAGAAACTGAGAAAGGTGTGGTTTTATTTGCTGTAAGTCATAGTCACCAAAATAAAAATGCTTGAAACATGTCAAGCTCATTGTAAAGAAACTACGTATTTAAATCAATTTGTTTTACTTTTTATATAGATTTTTTAAAATATATTTTTTTTACTGATATTCTAATTCATTGAGATGAGTCTGTATAACAATGCCGACGTGTACAACTAGAGAATATCCTCCAGCAAAATCTGAAAGTCAGCTAAGCCATCTTTTTGAATCTCTTTGCACAACAGATGGGCCTCTTACCAAAGCAGATCTGCATGGGCAGTCAAGTAGCAAGTTCCCATACTGTTATGTGTGTTGTGGCTCGCATGTCAAAGTGCATGAATATCATCTTATCTGTTTTAAAAATGTCTCGCTCCAACATGCTCTTTGTTGCGGTCTTGTGAGCAAATTCTCTGTCTGTTTATGAAAAATTGAATGTTTAGTTTTAGAATAACGCGGTCGGATGTCAAACGAGGCCTGAAGCAGATCTGAGATCTGGCTGACGGAGAAGGAGGCAGAAACACGACGCGGAAGGTGCAGCGCTTTTTGTATAATCGTTTGCAAGACAATGGTGCCTTCGTCTCCTCTGACAGAAATTTTTAAAACAGATGCAAATATAAACAGTGTCACTTACAAAATTAATTCTCATGGGTCACATACTGCATGTATGGTTTCGCTAAAAGAAGTTGGACCAACATATATTAAATATCTTTATTTAGTCATCAACCAAAGAAGAAAAATAAAGAAAAAAATACTACAGAGGAACACATTACAGCTGTTTTTTTTGTTTGTTTGTTTCGGTAAAAATCTATTTAGGGACATATATTTTCCTTCTTCATCAAAATCCATTACATATTTGAAAAAAAAAAAAGTTTTAAATAGTAACGACCACATGTGACATTCTAAAAAGTATGTTTTTAGTGACATACTAAAAAGTATTAAAGGAAGTTTGCATCATTCCAGATCATGTAAATGAAATGCAAAAAGTAGTACGCAAAAGAATACTTTTCTGAATGGATTTGCATCTATCCACAGTCTTAATATAGCCATGCCGATTTAAGACTTAAAACCTATTTAAATTTTAGGAAACAGGTCAGCAATTTGTAAGTTGATGGAAACTATGAAAATCAACTGAGTCCGCAGACTGAAATGCAAAAGGAAGAAAAAAGAGAAGACCATCTTTCTTGCTAAATATTGTGTTGCAAATTAAAATATCTTTAACAGAGGCAAAACAACAAAAACAAAGTAATTTCCAAAATGGTGTATATTAATATTTGAATGATAACAGTACGTAAACCCCTCTGTGCTTATTTAACTTTAAAACAAGTTGGGAGGCAACAGCACCGGATGTACAGACACAATTTGTCACTTAAACTAGAGGGATACAAAATAAAAGAAAATAATTATATTGTGCTTTCTATGTGCAATTATGTTCAGACACAAAATAATGGCGCAAACCTCTTTGGGTGGAGTGTGCGTATATTTTTTAAGGCTTTATTGGCTACACTGGCCTTTAATTGAGAGTGGTCAGACAGGAAAGTGGGTTGTGAGAGTGGAGGACGGAATGCGGCAAAGGTCATCGGGCTGGGACTCGGACCCGCATCGGCCGCATCGAGGATTAAAGGCCCTCATTATGTGGGCTGTGTACTCTACCACTGCGCCACCGCAGCTGCCCGAGGGTGCATATATTTAAATGAGAAAATATAGAAAAAGAATTAAATAAAGGTGAACAGATGTATGTCTTTGAATATGCAGTGGTGTTCCGCTGTGCATATCAGAACTTTTTCCATATTTATTCTTTCACGATATTTCCAAGCGTCATGGCATTAGATGAGGTTAGGTTTATCTTCAGTATTGTAAGCCTGATCGGTGTGCAATAAAAGTAATAAACTTCACCCCAATAACACCATATTACTTAAGTGCACCAGATTCACTAATTAGAACAAACATTCCTAACAAGGGATCTGGTAAAATGACTGTTTTACTCTAGGGCCACATTCATCCTGTCTCCCGCAAACATTCTTACAGGGCCACAACCTGCAGTCAGGGAGCAACTTGGGGCTAATTGTTTTCCCCCAGGGGCACGTTGACATGTGGCAGGACAAATCTGGAATCAAATCCACAATTTCCAGATCACTACACAACTGCTGTTGTGCTATGTATCTTATTTCACATAGTTTTTGAAGAACAAAAGTAGGAAGAAGTTGGACATACCTAAACTACGTGACCAGATGTATGATGCAGGACATCAGACATCTTAGAAAGCCTTACATCAGACCTGGTGGAGATGATGAAGGTCCTTAAACTGGGTGAAAAGCACTGCAATATTAAATGCACTCCTTGTTATGCATTTTTCTATTGGTTCTCTGTAAAAGTTAGAGCAAGTTCTTTTTTTCTTTTTTTTTTTTTTTTTTTAAGAGAATAGCCTTAAAACTTTGACCAGGCTGAGGTGGCCTATGCTGTAGTCCACATGAAGATCATGTTTGTTGTTACTGTAAATTTTACCACAGGGTTGATGTCCTTTGAAATGTATTTTTAAACACATGGGCAGCCATAGCGAGAGATGTGGCTTGTGCATTTCCTCCCACCTCCACCTCTACTACTCTTCTTTTTCTAGCACTCAGCAGAGGTTGTCCTTTTCTCATTCAGATAAAAGTTCACAACCACTTGTCAAATATGTTAAACATTTCTGAATCTTGGACAGATCTGAGAAAACTTTATTGAGACTAATTTTAATCAGTCCATTTTTTACAAACGGAAAAATAGCCTAACTTTGCATTATATTATTTCGTAGAGTTTCCTAAAAACTCTTTTATGTCACACAGAGGTTTTGCTAAAGAGCATTCGCTGCAGATGTGAAAATAGGTTATAGTGATTGTTGATCTACTTTTTTAAGGTGTGACATCATGCAGTGCACAAAAGTTACATGCATGAGAAAGAGTGGAAAAACACATTAGCAAAAGCAAAAGAACTCATTAAAAAAAAAAGTAAAGTGAGACCTCTTAAAAGTGGTCTGAAGTGACAAACTGGCCAGTGGAACATTTTGTGGTATTTACAGACGAGCTTGCAGAAGCCAGCATCCTGTTTGCAAGCTGGACTACTTGTTGTGTGTTTACCTGTGTGTGTGTGTGTGTGTGTGTGTGTGTGTGTGTGTGTGTGTGTGTGTGTGTGTGTGTGTGTGTGTGTGTGTGTCTATGGAAAATACCAGCAGTGCTTCGATAACACTGCTGCCTGACACTGACTTACAGCACAACAAGCTGTTAAGTCACAGCAAGGCCATATTTTATATGCACTGAATATGAGTGACTGGATAAACTTGACATAATTGCAACATAACAAATATAGACATAAATCTGATTTTAAACCACCTGGACATTTTTTTTCTTTTTGTATTTTCTCACATTGCCATGGCAAATTTCTCCAGATATTATTTGGATTTCTTGTGATATACCAACACAAATCTGTGTAAAACATGAAATAGAAAACAAAATAATACAGTTTTTTTGCGTTTTCTTATTTTTGTCTTAATAAATTAAAGACTGTGTGCAAGAGTTTACAATTAGCTCAGTGGAGTCAAAAATGAATAAAACCACTCTGACCTACAAATACAGCTGCAAATCATCTGTGGTACATCTCTGCCAGTTTTGTACATCTAAATGAAAATTTTTGTATAATTTGCTTTTCAAATTTTTATGACTCTTGAGACATTTTCAGTTGAATTTAGTCTGGATTTTAAGTGGGCCATTCTAAACTCATCATTTTGATTTCAAAGCATCTATGACTGTATGTTAGGGTTGTTTTTGTTGTGCCTGGAAGGTAAACCTTTACTCCAGTCTCAAGTCTTTTGCAACTGAACAGGTTTTCTGCGGTGGAGGCTGAAAACTTATTTTAGTATTGTCTTTTATTTAGCTCCATCTTCTCATCTACTCTGACCAGCTTCTTCATCCCTGTAGAAAAGAAGCACAACATGATGCCACACCTACAACATGATGCTGGCACCATGTTTCATGGGTTCTTCAGGGTGAGGTGTTGTGTTAGTTTCCACCACAAATACCTTTTTACAAATAGGTTAAAATTCAATTTTAGTTTCAGATGACCAGAACATCTTCTTAATAGTTCTGAGCCTCTTATTAGGCTTGTTTTAAACTACAAACGGGATGCCTTATGGATTTTTGTCAACAATATGGCTTTTATCTTGCAACAGGCCAAGTGTATGTCAGCTGTTCCGCTGAACAAGTGTGTTGTTGATACAGTCTCCACAGTTCAGCTGTGGAGAATGTATTACAACCCCTCCAGAGTTACAATGGGTTTCTTTCCATAATGCTCTGTCAGCTAAGGTAAACATTTGCATCTTGGTTGCTTTCCAGAAGTTCTTCTCAGATGGTGGATTGTACAGAACTCTGTTCAAAGCTTGGGTTGGTTTTTGATCTTGGTCTGTTACTTCACTAATGATCTCCAAGAAAATTGTGTGAAAAAAAAAAAAAAAAAAACTGATCTGGAACTACATATTTTCTACTAATGCAAAAATATATCTTATTTTTACTCAGAGCTATTTTGTTCTGTACCTGCCTCTGAAAGTTCGCTGTGTTTTTAATTGTCAGGAGGAATTTGACCAAACTGTCCTTGCTGTTCAGTCACATGCTGTGGGAGCTCAAGGCTATGTTTCCAGGGGGATATTTTCAGGGTGACACCTACAAAGTGTCTAAAGTTGAAGCAGATGAATTCTGGAGGAAATATTTTGGAACCATGTAAGTTTGGTACTTTTTGCTATATCTGTAGTACAAGCTTAATATTGCATTTGTTTCATGTTTATATATATGAATGTTGTGCCCTGATAGGTGTATAGTGCCATGGAGAAGATTCAAAGAACAGTTGAAAAGTACACATCCATTTGAGGAAGGGATGGAGGCCATGGCTCTGAAATCAACAATTGATCTTACCTGTAATGAGAACATTTCAGTGTTTGAGTTTGATATTTTCACACGGTTGTTCCAGGTAAGTAAATGATTTCCAGGAAAAGATTTTGGATACATCAATAAAGCAAAAAGAATTTAAATCTTCTTTAAAAAAATAGCAAGGGAGAGAAATAGTTATTCGTGCGTGACTTTGACAACCGTAACATGTAGATGTGACGTAGAAT